GGGTAGATCAGCTAGTTAAGTCAGATGTGTGCAGAGAACACGTGTGTTCTGTAGATTCCACTTGGGCTTGACTTTTTTTGCTCTTGTATCTCAAGCCTTTGCAAGGCCTTGAACTGAGTTTTGGAGAAAGGAGGGAGACTGCTGTGCGGTCTGTTGGCTCTGATGCTGTGCCAAACGTTGACTCAGGCACCTGCACACCTACAGCGATGCTGCAATACTTAATGAGGCTTTGTAACAACCGCTTCATAGACATTACTCTGCAGCACAGTGGATGAGCTTCCACACACATCAGATACATGATTTTAGTAAGTTTACTATCCCAATGACTCATTTTAGTGTTGTTTTTCCCCCATGCTAATAACACAAATCACATCACCCATTTATCAGGTGCCTTAAAAAAGGAGCTCAACCAGCTTTGCAGACAGCAAATCAGTCATTTCCACAAGGCCTGCTGAAGTGTGCAATAGGTCGGCATATTTGTTAAACTGAGAAAAACTGATGCAGAAGCTAAAACCCTGGAGTCACACTGGATCAGTGTGGGCCAGACAATGTGGCACTTCACCTTCCTCTTCTAAGGACCCTGCCCACGCTGCAGAGCCCAGATCTTCAGCAGGGGTGTGGACTCAGCACAGTCTCACCTCACAATTCAGACACTTCAAGTTTAGGTCTACAGGATGTCATGGGCATACGGAGATATCAATCATTGGTATGAATTCAGTTAGTTGAGAAAGTAGTTGATGAGTATGCTTGCTTAAAATAAAATGTTGAAAGTAACCCTCTATTTGCTGTTTCTAAAACTGCAGCTTATCCTAGACGTTTCTATTGCTTCTCTCTCCTGGGATCAACTACAACAGACAACAGGAGTCCCAACCTGGAGAGCTGAAGCAAGCGAGCGTTTACGAGGTGCAGGCATGCTCCTGTTGCTAAAGCACAGGCAGAACGTGGGACAAGGCTAATTAAAACACGGAAAAGCAGGTGTTTGTGCCTTTGGAAAGCAGTGGTGGGGAGCTTTCCCACTGCAAATTTACATCATTGGAGATGGAAACTGCAGACACTATTTAAAGAGAAAAACTGGGGGATGGAGGGAGGGGACAGGGGAAAAGAGAAAGGAAGAGCAGGCCTTGCTTGTAAATTCCTACCCACACGTGACCCTGCATCCAGAGCAGGGGCAAATAAACATTCTGTGGAGGAGTGTCTCCTGAGCAGATCCACAGGCCTTTAGCACAGGGGAGGCTATGCCTCAGTGTGTGGTCTGTACAGCATCTGTGCTGGTCACTGAGTCACAAAGAGAGGCCCACTGAAAATGGAGATTCATGGGGAGGGTCTGCACTTTTAACTAGCATACCCAAGTAAGAAAACCACTGATTTAGGAAAGAAAAAAAAATCACTTACAAAACACAAGCAGCCCTTCCTTCCCATCTTTCTTCCCCTCCCCTCCCGGCATGGAGAAAATGGTGCCAGGGTCTGAGGCAGTGCAGGGTGGAGGGGCCAGGCGCTCTAAGGAAGGGGGGGCTCACAGAGGCCAGAGAGAAAGGTTGGGAGATTGCGCAAATGCACTAGTTAAACAAATGAGTTAATATACTGAGGATAAAGGGAGCCAGATTCGTGTCTGAGAAGGATGTATAAACAGAATGGGAAGAGCTGGAGAGAACCCTGAGGTATTGGATTAGAAATGAAAGACAGTAAGAACACAGCAGTTTTAAAGTAGAGAGAGACACAGACAGGTGCAGCAGTAGTTGCAGATGTGTATAGACGGACGGATGAACAGACGGACGGATGGATGGATGAATATCTACACATGTTTCCTGACTGTCTGCTCAGAGGGCCTAGAAGCACTGACACCCACAAGCAAACAAGCCTTCTCAAGCCCCCAGATCTTAGTTTCTAAATACCACACAACAGCACAGGAACCAGGACTTGTTGGTGAGATGGTTGATCTCAGGTGAGGCAGGGAAAGGACAAGATGAGTCGGGGAACATCTTGTTATGCCAGAAAGAATGCTTAAATAATGATAAGGATACATAAAAACGACATAAAAAAAAGGCTCCTGCTGGCCAAATAAGGACAATTTAGGCATCACAATAGAGTATTGTATTGTAACCCATTGAATATAAGAAGATTCTATAAATCCATACTGAAATAATGAATGAATGAATGAATGAATGAATGAATGAATGAATAAGAAAGCTCTTCCTTACTGTAGAAAAGGCCACCCAGTAAATATAAGAGTGATGGAAACAGTGCCATCATCAGACAGCCATTATAGTGGCAACCGATATGAGCAGGAATTGCCAGTGGAAGCTGAGGCCACGAGAAGTCCGATGAGGCATAGATACTGTGTTATATCAGTGTATCTCTTAACAAAATGCTCACCAAAGACAAATTTTTTGATGGTGATTTTGCACTGGAGAAACCTTGCAGACATCAACCTTATCAAGTGGTCAAGGTTAACATCATCAGTCAAAGGATGGGTCTGCATCCTATGACCCTGCTGTGACACCCCAGCCAGCCCGTGACGAAAACTGAATGGGCAGGGAGACTGAGGGTCATCCTACTGAACGAAAGGCCTGTATTACCCAAGACGTCAATGACACAAGGCAGGGAAAGACACCTCGTGTGAAGGAGACGTGGACACTATCACAATGCACATGCTGGACAGCATCATGGTCCAGGAAAGAGAAGGGCAGAGAGACATGGTTGGACAGTGGGAAACACGGATGGGTCTGCGGGCAGGATGGCCGTGTTGTATCGATATTGACATGATGACTGGAGAGAGAGGTAGGGAAGGAAAAGGTGAAGCAAATATAAAATATTAAAATTGGGTAATCTGGGTCAAGGGAGTGGGGGAGCTCTTCTGTTCCAACATGTCGATGGCCTGAAACGATTTCAAAATTTAATAATTTAAAAGGCAAAAAAAATTTATTCCATTCTACTGAAAGTCTTTTCCATTCCCCCCGTTTATATATTACTATGTCCTGGAGTGTAGAGAGCAGTTGAAACAAGTACGAGGACTAAAAATTGTGGTCTAAGACCCCAGATTGGGAAGCCACTTACTTGCCATCAAATTATTGTTACCAGTTTCAATTCCAATGAATCTGCATCACAGGTAAACAAGTTCCCAGGTCAAGATGCCCTTTTTCACAGAATGTAGTGGTAACAGTGAGAAAATTCTGCAATTCGTTAGCAGTACCCAGGGCAACAGGCAGACTGAACCAGCCAGCTGGGCCGGAGCATGACACTGGTCAGGTCATGCTGATTCTGAGGCAGGTCAGGCAGACAGAGACTGCAGCCCAGCTCCTGCCAACCCCTTGTGTGTGAGCGCTTCAGTCTCACAGCGGTGCGGAACCTACCATTGAAATCAAATCTGGCTCCTGGGAATGTCATTAGTAAGTAGATGTATGAGGGCCTCAGTACATGTGGACAACAGGGTCATTCACTTTCTACATCACAGGTCAAAATTAGAAGAGATGGCATACTCCAGGAAAGAGATGAATGCTTTTGAAACTCAAAATCTTCATGAATCAGTGTAATACATAATTACCGATCTATTCAATTTTCATTTTTACTATAAAAAAAGCTATCACTTATTTCTGTAGTTCCTAATAAATTAGATAATCAAACTAGCTAATAAACACTGGGTGCAAAATTAAGAAGCATATATAGAGATAACTATTTTTTAATTTTATGGACAACATAAAATAGTGCTAACAGATAAAAAGATCTTGTTAGGCACAAAGGTCGCGAGAGGAACAAACATGTAGATCTCAACTTCCATGGGAAGGAGGTTGACCATGTTCCAAAGCAAATGTCACAGTGCATACGACATCTGTTTAATTCACCCTTGGGCACTTGGGTCAGGAGACCTGGGCCCAAGGACATGAGCGTGGCAGCCTCGTGGGGAAGCAGGAAGTGCCAGGCTCAAATCAAATGGCCAGTTTCCTCCCCACAACTTTCACAAGTGGGTGTGGTTCACATCCAGGAAGACTTGGATTTAAAGATTTACTAAGCACCTACTCTGTGCCCAGCCCTCTGCCAGCGGGTTGGAAACACTGTCTCTGGGGAGCCGCCCGGCGATCTCTCACGTCGGCATACACAGTGCGACAGGTGCTCCTTAAAGGATGGAGCAACCCTGCGGAAAGCGAGCGCGCACAGAATTCCCACCCACTCCCCCGGCCTCAGGGACGGAACCCACGTGAGGCTGGCCTGAAGAGCCAGATGGCTGAGACGCGGACAAGAGTGGCACGTCTCGATCTACCTGCAGTTGACAGGAGGCAGCTGAGAACATGAAGCCGGCCTGGCTCGGCTCATATTCCAGCCCCACCTCTACAGCCCTGGGCCTGGCACAAGTCACTTCATCGCCGAGCCTCAGTTTCGTTTGTAACAGTGGGGTTAATAACAGCACATGCCCCAGAGTTGTGAGCAGTAAGTGATCACTAAAGTCCTTACAACAAAGCCTGGCACAGAAGGAGGTGGCAGAAATAAAACAGGGTAATTACATTAAATAATTTACCATAAAATAATAAAGAAAACACTACCCTGAGATTTCTACAACAGCGAGTAGCTTTACTTACTTGACAAAAACAGTGTGTGCTTTGCAATCCAGAACGTGAGGCTGTGTCGGGTTTGCCTCTTTTCTAGAAAGCTCACTCAGGGAGATTAAATGGAGTTTGGGCAGACCGAAGAGAGCACAAATAGGTCCCTAAATACACGTAGACAAGAACACTGGGATTTCGTTGACATAAGATGAAAACCTAAGCCCTCTAAAGAAATCCACAAATGTCACAGGGCCATGAAAAGTCTACTCACTGCCCACCACCTGGTTTTCCTTACTAGCTTTCACCCCCTACTCAAGTCAAAAAGTTACAACAAAACTGAAGTTTCACTCAAAAATCAAAAGGTTTTTTTCTAGGCTAGCCAAAACGTCCTTTTTGTTTTCCAGCTTTCGTGCTATGACAGAAAAAAAATGCTGCTTTGCAAGTGTAGCAGAACGGACCACCTACCTCGGAATAAGCCAGGGTGATGTGCTCATATATCCCCTGGTGGTGGTGAATGGCGTCCTCCAGGTCCTGCAGCTCTGAGGGCAGGTCCACCTCGCCGCAGGCCTTACACCACGAGTCCACGTTGCTCATATACTTGGAAGGTTAAAAAAAGAATATGTTCATCAATGGTGATGTATAGTGAGAAGTGACTATTTTTCAACGTGGTTTTGAAATAAGTATAGTTGAGACATTCCAAGCACATGACTGAATCTCCATCTCAGATGGCTTTCTGTGAGTTCTCAAACTGATTCCTGGAATCCACCCCTGACTTTAGGTTCTGGCAGAACTGGGGCAGGGCCTAGGAACCCACATTTGAAATGATGACCTCAGGTAACCCTGTGGTCTAGGACCGCATCTGGAGAAGCTCTGCCCTGCATTATCTGTTTTGGGCATCCTGGTTAATCTTCCCACACTACATTTGAATTTACGTTTCTAACTGCCCTGCCCTGATAGCCATTGAGGGCCCTCTCAGCCTCAGCAAGACAGCAGGGTGCAATTCTCCAGGAGCTGTAGTCCAGCTGTCCTGCTTTCCTCTTACGTTAAATTGTTAATGGTTTCTTTTTTTAAAAAATATATCTGTCCAATTTTCCCAACACCACTTAGTGAATAAACTGTCTTTACCAACCTTCTTACACCATATACAAGAATAAACTCAAAATGGATTAAAAACTTAAATTTAAGACTCAAAACTATAAAACTCCCAGAAGAAAACATAGGCAGCAAAATCTCTGACATTTCTCTTACCTGTATTTTTTTCTGATATATCTCCTCAGGCAAAGGAAACAAAATAAAAAATAAAAAATGGGACTACATCAAACTAAAAAGGTTTTGCACTGCAAAAGAAACCATCAACAAAACAAAAAGACAACCTACTGAATGGGAGAAGATATGTACCAATGACACATTCGATAAGGAGTTAATATCCAAAATTTACAAAGAACTCATACAACCCAACAGCTAAAATATAAAAAATAAAATAAAATAAAAATAAGTCCTATTAAAAATGGGCAGAGGACCTAAACAGACACTTCTCCAAAGAGGACATACAAATGGCCAAGAGACATATGGAAAGATGTTCAATGTCACTAATCATCAGAGAAATGCAAATTAAAACCACAATGAGATATCCCCTCACACTTGTCAGAATGACTACCATCAATAATAAATCAACAAACAACAAGTGCTGATGAGGATGTGCAGAAAAGGGAGCCCTAGTGCACTGCTGGTAGAAATACAAATTGGTGCAGGCACCACCACCATGAAAAACAGTGTGAAGCTTCCTCAAAATATTAAAATCGGAACTGCTTTATGACCCAGCCATTCCACTTCTGGGCATATTATCTGAAGAAACCCAAACACTAATTCAAAAGAATATGTGTACTTCTTTGTTCATTGCTGCATCATACAGAAGCAACTGAAGTGCCCATAAATAGAAGAGATTAAAAAAAAAGATGTTACATACAGGGTGGAGCAAAAGTAGTTTTACAGCTGTTCATATGGAAAGTAATACAATAACTAATAATAATACAAGAATAAACTGTTTCATATACTCTTAACTGTAACCCTACTTTCGCCCTACCCTGCATATCCAGGGGACTACTGGCCACGAAAAAGAACGAAATCTTACCCTATGAGATGGTATGAGCCAGGAGGGTATGAGGGCATCGTGCTAAGTAAAATAAGCCAGTCAGACAACTACCATACAATTTCACTTATATGTGGAATCTAAAGAACAAAATAAACAAACAAGCAAAACTGAAACAGACTCACAGACACAGAGACTAGATGGCTGCCAGAGGGGAGGGGTGTTGGGGGACTGGGTGAAAAAGGTGAGGGGATTAAAAAATACAGATTAGTAGTTACGAAACAGTCATGGGAATGTAAAGTAGAGCACAGGGGACATAGTCAATAACATTGTAGTAACTCGGCATGCTGTCAGGTGGGTACTTGAAATATCTGGGAGAGCACTTTCTAAAGTATATGACTGTCTGATCACTATGATGTACACCTAAAACTAATGTAAAATAATACTGGATGTAAACTATAATTAAAAAATAAAATGTTGCCCAGCTGGCATTGCTCAGCGGTTGAGCATCCACCTATGATCCAGGAGATCTTGGTTCAATTCCCGGTCAGGGCACGTGCCCAGGTTGAGGGCTCGATCACCAGCAGGGGGCAGGCAGGAGGCAGCCAATCAATGACTCATCACTGATGTTTCTCTCTCTCTCTTCCTCTCTCTGAAATCAGTAAAGACATATTTTTAAAAATAAATAAGTAATAAATAAAATGTTAAAAATGCTAATGGTAAAATACCTGACATCATTTACTTAACATTAGGAAGAGGAATAGGTCAATTTTTTTACCTTTTTAAAAGCAAATACAGGATTAAAAGAAGACCAAGTGAAGGCCTCCTAAACTCCTCAGCTGTGCCCTGGGATCTAAGTGTGGGCTGAGGAAGCAGCCGATCACTCCAGTCTTGCCCACTTTGCAAACAGAAGAGTGTCAGCTGCAGGCTGTAGAGCCAGGCTGCTGCCACTCCCCGCTCTCCGCAGTTTTCTCCACTGCCGCCCCCATATCCCCAGGCTTCATCAATATCTGAGAAACCGCTGCCAAATTTCCTAGGGAGATCCTATCAGCATCCATCACTGTAAGTGTCAAAGGCAAGCAGCAGAAGGCCCAATTAAGGATGCTAATTCAATTAAGCCAAATAGACAGGGACACATTTCCCTGGGCTTCACCTCTTTTTCTCCAGTTCTTCACTGTCTCTGCTTACCAGGGATGCAGAAGATGACTATTAAAATGGAATAACTGACCCACCACACAGGAAATGCGCTCAGGTTCTCTTAAAATATCTGTATGAGAATGCCCTCCTGTGCACTTATGGTGTTTTTAGAAACTTGAAATAGACAAGTCATCCAAATAACAACTGTTTATAAAAATCCCTTTATCATTAATGTATTGGCTCAGAAAAATATCTGTATGCAAATCTTAGGGCTTGAGAGCAGTTCATCTAGCTTTAAGTGTCATCTGATAGCAGGTGGTTTTTGATGGCTTCAAACATGACTAAACCAACATACACACAGGGAACATCCCCACTACCCCCCTGTATGGCGCCTGCCTAACACCCTCAAGGCAATGGAAGTAGTAATAAAATTACTTTACACCTCTCCCCCTCCGCACAGATACAGGTATGACTAATTAGGCATACTTTTATCTATTTCTGGGGTGGGGTGTTCTATAAATGTCAATTAGGTCAGATTGAATGATTCTAACTATTCTTGATCTCATTTCACTCTCTCCTCTTTGATTATTGCATTTACACCAATTGTTAAGTTATTATAAACTGTTTTCAATTATGAGTTGACTGAGGCTAACAAGCATCATTAATAAGTCATCAGGTCAAGTCAGTAATTAATGGCTCCTACACACTGGTCACTACAAAACAAGGCAGAGTTACAATATATCCAGAGGCTAAAACGCCTCCGATGTAACAGGGAAAGACAAGTTTTAGTTATACAATACTTCACAGTGAGCGGAAGTGTCAGATTAATATGTCAGTGTATCAAAATGACGACTGAAATATATTCAATTCCAACTTTTGAAGCAACCAATAAAGAGAAACATTCAAAATGTTTTATATATGCCTGTAGTAAAAGTAGTTCACTTATAATTTCTTAACGTATCCTGAAAGAGTAGTTGATTATATGTACTGAAAAAATGTAGCCAGGTTCTAAATGCATAGGAAAGGAAGGCTTGCCACGTGGAAAGCTGGTGGGAGAAGGATTCTGCACATCTGAACTCACATGGTTAAAATATTCCAGTGACAGAGATAAATCTGGTTTGGTTCCCAGGGACTTTTGAGGAAGCATAATTTATTGTCTTTCATTTGTGAGATGGCAACCCTCAGTTCCAATGGGCAAGCCCTAAACCCTGAATGCTTTCTGAAGGGCCAATCACCCAAAGGATCTGAACCCAGATGCCACCAGAGCAGCAAGCCCGTTCAGAGAGCCAAGAAACAGGGTGTTCACAGGTCTTCCACAAAGAAAAGGTATGCTGGGGTCAAACCTGGTGTCAAAGTTCAACAGGCACCTATAGAACTGAACCTCTTAGAAACATGTAAAATGATAAATGTGCATTATGCATATGGGGGGAGCTGGTATGTTGTTTAAAGACTTCTCTGACTACTCTGTTACATTCCACCCCCCTCCCCCCATACACACACATCTGTATTACCGTCCTGGAAAATACAGTTTGGGATGGCACCACCTGGGGGACCTGTCTAACCCAGAGCCTTACACATCCTAAAGGACCACAGAAGGTGGCTACTGGGCTCCAGCGAGATCAGAGCAGCCAGTTCAGTGTCTGATGCTTTAACTGCTCAGGAGACCAAACTATGTGAACACCCAGCATCTGGCTAGACCGAGGGCAAAGGCAGGAGGGTGCGAGATAATTAAATGCTTCTCCCTGAATTCAAATCAAGAGCCAGCATCAGAGCTGGGGATTCTGATGCTCAGCAGAATGGTGACTTTCAGATGAGGGAAGAGCAAGTAATATATAAGCTTCAAAAGGGGAGTTGGGGCCCGGCCAGGCGTGGCTCAGCGGTTGAGCACTGACCTAGGATCCAGGCGATCAGGGTTCGATTCCGGGTCAGGGCACATGCCCAGGTTGTGGGCTCGATCAATGACTCTCTCATCATTGATGTTTCCATCTCTCTCTCTCCCTCTCCTTTCCTCTCTCTGAAATCAATAAAGATATATTTAAAAAAAAAAGGGGGGGAGTTGGGATCATTAATTAGCAGGCTGATTTTCATAAGCATTTATTCCACTAATCTCCATCTGCTGAGCAAGAGTAGGGCTTCCGGTGTGGGAGCAGCTCGGGCCTCTGGCCTGTTTTGCCTCCTACCACCCAGAGCTGGGGTCCTCACAGCTAGTGAATTTCACCCCTACCCACTTAAGTACAGGGCGCTATAGCTCCATTTAGAAGACAAAGGGACAGAAAATTCCCAAAATGTAAAGTTTTAAAATACTTATTTAAGAGAATTTTTCCTCTGGAATAATTAGGACTGGTTGAGGTTTATAGGCATATGTAAAATATATGACTTCAAGCTTCAGAGTGCTTTTATTTATCTCTAATTTCCTCACTTTCTGTTTTCATTTCTAGAAAATACTACCCTTCATTTTATTTCATCATTTCCACTCCCTGAGCTTTAACCCACACACTCCATTCTCCTGGGGCCTCTATGGGAGAGGGGCTTCCATCTCTGCCCAGGAAAATCACAGGATGGAGGGGGCATGTCCTCTGTTAGCCCAGCTCTGATGCTCCCTGAGTAAATGGAGAAGACAGGTTCAATTTGAACCAAAATAGGCCAGTGATCACTCTAAATATCTTACACCTGAATAATTTTTCATGAATACTTTTTTATTATCTACACACATATATCTATTTACTCCAATTCCTTTCTATGTAATGAGAATTTTGTTTCTGTTTTACTACAAGCCAAGAATTAGGCCTATGCTTTAAAGTAAAACAACATTAAAATGGGAAAAGTTAGATGTATATTATCTGCATAGAAATTCAACAGGGAATACGGAATCAGTATTAATTCCCTCTGAATTTCAACCCAGACTTATGATACAATTAGCCAGACCGTAACTGTAAGTCCTGTTTATAGTAAACGTTACTTCTGTAATTTTTATGGAACGTGAAATTTTATAAGAATATTAATATAAGTGCTTGTTTCTAGAACAGTGTGATGTTATGTCAGGAACTGAAAGATTTTCATAGAGCTGATGAGAGTCCAAGCTTTGAGACCACAGGCAGATCATTCTCCAAACAGAATTTGAGACAGTACCAACAGCCCATTTACTTCACTGGCCTGATTTAAGTAAGAAATGAGATTTTGCGTTAAAGATCTGTAAGTTTGAAGAGCTATGCAAACACTGGCTGCTACTTTATTTTTGGCTATTATCAGATCAGAGGCTGTTAAAGCCTCAGATAAAATAAGGTGAGACTTACGGTTCCCTCTGAAGGCAGCCTCTATCAGCACTAACAGAACCCGCTGCAGGGGCTGGCCTGTGGCTATACCACATGACCCAAAAAGTGAATGCTGGAGCCTCTCAACACCGTCTACTGGCAAAACTGCCACCACAGAGGTCGCGTCTCCATACTGACACACTGGTACCTGACTGTACAGCCTTCCCTGGAGATGAGGACCTCAGCGACATCTCCGGAAAGCAGGACATCTACGAAATGTCATTCTCATCTAGTTTTAACCTCAAGGTTCGTGTTGATGAAACCACAGGCAAACAGCAACACCAGAACATCCGCAGTCAGAGGAGCGAGGCTGGGTGCTCAGCGCACACATGTCCCTCGCTGGCAGCTGAGTCTCGAGAGGCAGGGCTGCTTCCTTTCGTCAGACCATTTACCACAGGGTCGCATATTTGAGCCCTATGTCCCCCTGATAAAACTGAAATTCTTAATGAGAATTCTCGATGGCATTCAAAGAAGTGGCTGTGATGGACACCTAACTTATGACGTCCATGTTTCTGGTCCTTTCCCTACTGAGGTCAGGAAAACAGCTTAAGTGGAAGGCAAAGCATTTGAAAAGAAAGGCAAAGCTGACCTCATCCTGTGACCGCTCTCCTGGGAAGGGGAAAACTGTTAGTAAATAGGACCTTCCGGGCATCGAAATTTCAAGGGTCTTACTTTTATTCAGTGAAGGGGACAATACACAATGCATTTTTTACTTAAGGGTAAGGAAACACTTTCTGAAGACATGCTAATGTCCCATGGGTACACCTCATTTGCCTGGGCAGGCCTCACTGCCTCAGTCAAGGCCCAAAGATGCCAGGCCCCTGCTTCACCACGCCACTCTGTTCCTAAGCTCGGATTTGGCTTCTTGGCCATTTGATCTGCATGGAGACCCCAAGCATTGTTATTGTTTATGCAGGATACCAAGAAATCCTGTTCAATAATATATTCATCTAGCTTAGTTTCCTTCAAATCCATAACTTACAGCCACTCATTTTATCCAAGTAAAAACACCCCAGGCTCTTTCAACTTTGCTGCAAGTATGAAATTGTTAATAATAAAACATTGCGGGGAAAATGCCCCATGGCACTCACACTTCTAGATTATTTTCAGGCAGGTCAGAGCAGCAATTAATCTTCTGTGTGTATTTACAATTCCGAATCCTGCCATGTTTATGAAAGAGATTTTCCCCTATGTGTTGTTGTGCTTCAGACTAGCTGCTAGTCACCCAAGCGGCTGGTGCTGTTTCAAATTTATTCATATCATCTTGACATACCTTGCTGGGGGCCCCTTATCAGTTTATACCCCCAACCCCAGTTCCAGGGGGTTGCTGCACCCATGCTAGGTTCCCACTCCAGCTGACACATGGGCGAGCAGCACACAGCTCATCTTCCCATTCACAATAATGCCCGGTGCACAACGCACCCCTGCACTGAACAATGACAGGGGCTAGAGCAGGTCAGAGTCCTGCAGGCAGTGCTGTTTCATCTTGAACAGGATTCCTACTACTTTAAAAGAGCTGGGGTTTTTGTTGTTGTTGTTGTTGTTTTGGGGGGCTTTTATTTATCCTTTAATCATAAAACTAGTTAAATGCAGATGATTAGTAGGCAGAAAACTCTTACTACTGAAACCTGAAAGTCAGTCCCTTTTCACAGCTTAGCTTTTACACGAGGCGATCAGGATTTTTTCTCTTTATATTCCACTCGGTTTCACACTTTAAAGGTTTCTACGCCTGAGATCACTACTAATTAGTGTCTTGCGCAACATTCTAGCTGCCTTGCCCAAAGCCCAGGCAAGCTGGGGCCTCTATCTTACCTCAACTGACTTCATTCCTCAACAGAGATTGTTTCTAGATTAAAGAGATAATATTTCCTTCTTAGAATCATCAGTGCAAATCCCCATAAATATAGTTTTCCCCAAAAAAGCTATATCAGTATTTTTTCTTTAAAATCAAGTAACTGTTTGCCTCTACCCCATGCGCCTTCCCAGTGGCTACAAGTTCCTATGCTCTCTGTCAACACCCTAAGAAAGAATTCCACAGTCCACACGCCTTCCACACTGACGTCTTGGTCACGGACACATCACTTTACCTTTGCTACTTTCAGAGTGCTTGTTTCGGCTAGTTTGTTTGCGGAAAGGATTGTGGAGGTGTGGGAATGTTACAAGCATACATTACATATTACCTCTTAAAGAAGGTATTTTGAAGAGCCCATCAGCCAATGAGCCAATGTGTCAGAATCCGTACAAATCCTTTAAAACTTGTGAAAGACACTGAAAACTGCCTGCCCAAAAGCCACTTTTCCATCCAGCCCTTGCTGGCAAAGCCTGCCTACTGCTGTGGGGGCTAAAAAACTGGATCTGCCCCTTCCACTCTCCTCTGCACCAGGGGTGTGGGTACACCCTAGTCCTGGACTATGGAAAGCACTGGGGTGGAGGGATCTGACAATAACTTTTCCCTGATAAAAGTGATGGTGACAACACTCACTGCCAGCCCTGCATTCGCCAGACACCACGCTGGAGGGGCTGGTGTTGGGAGCTGTGGCATACATCCTGTGACCACAAAGGGAAGGGGGAGCAGACCCAAGAGGAGCAGATCCCAGCCCTGCAGTGTCATCTGGCGAGAACTCCCTACACTTTGTCACTTTGTTTTGAGAGGAAAGAAAAGCCCTGATGTTTAAACCTGACAGCGGGGCATTCGGTCATTTGCTGCCACAGCACCCTAAGGAGAATCCTGCGGTGCTAACAATGAGGAGAGGAGGAAGGGGAGGAGGGAGAGAGGGGAGAAGAGGGGTAAAGAACAGTGGCCACCACTCATTAGTACTCACCGGACACCAGGCACTGTGCAGGGCACCTAATACGAATAATCTCATTTAAACGATAAAACACTCCTCTCAAGTAGAGACTTTTCCTTCCACTTTACAAATGAGGAAACTAAGGAACAGGGAGGTTATATCACCTGCCTAAGGTTGCACAGTAAGGAGACAGCTGACTGACTCCAGAGTTCAGGTTAAGTGCCACACAAAAGTCCTCCAACGATCTGGCCCCAGCACGGAGGTTGGGGGAGGCAGCACTCCAGTCACCTCCCAGTGACAGCACTGACCTTTTCAGCCTTCTGGTGGAAGATGGAGGACATGTCCAGCAGGGTGCTGCGCTCGTCCAGCGCTGCAGCAAATGCCTTCCACTCCTGCTCCAGCTGATTGGCAATCTGCTTAATCTGCTGAGAGGCGTAGTGGCCGGACTCCACCAAGCGACTGGCCACTGACATAATCCGGTTTATGTTGACATACACGTTCTGAGAAAGGGGCAGAAAAAGAGGGCTCCTTAGGGGAAGGCAAACAGGAGGTATCTTTTAAAACACATAGATAGTATTTCCTGAAATATAGCCTATTCACTTAAAAGTTACCATAGTTTTAATAGCAGAATCACCTGGTATAGAATAGTATACATATTTGCTGTCTACATTTCTATCACCTCTGAGTACTGGTTTCCATTTCTGTTCTTAAGGCTGCAAAATTCCATATCAACTGGCTAAAAGGCATATTGTTAGGACAGAGTAATCAAATGCACAAGTGTGTGCACACAAATACACTATTACTCACTTCTTGGCTCCTGATCCTGAAAAGGGTCCAGATGGCAAAGCCTACTGACAAGCAGTCACCTAGAACTGCAGGAACCAAACATTTCTGCTTCTAACTAGAACCCAGAAACCACTAAATATGTACTTAGCAACCCTAGGCTATTTGTGTGAAAATAAGCTGTCCTTTCTACATAAACCCAAGTCATCTTTTCGGTGCCAACTGAAAATATTCTGTAAATGGATCCACTTTCTCCAAGGAATATGAACAGGGGCACAGAACAATGCTGTGTTCAAATTTTAAACCAGGCTTTTCTACTCTAGGGAAATTCCTATCTTCAGGTCCACCAGTGTACTGCACAAATAAGGGAGCAAAGCTTTAAAAAACACTGCACTTTTTGCAAAGCAACTTTTCACTATGATATTTCCCTTTCCACCTTGGATCTTCTTTGAGGGTCAGATTACAACCAAGGCTGGGGTGGGGATACACACATTACACAGCCCCGGCTGTGGCTCTTCAAGTACTGAGGATATTTTGTGATGCATCAGAACATTGTTGCTCTCCATGGGTCCCTCAAAATCATGGACACAGCTATGGCTCCTCGCAGTCATGCCCCCACATCTCATTACCCTCACTGTCCAAACTCCTCTATATTTTTCCTCCCTTCTTTCCTTCCCACACTGATCCTTGGGGCCAGTCTCCCACTGCCTGGTACCTAGACCTCTGCAAGAACCTCGTGGTGGCTACCTCGTCTGCAGCCCACCCAAGAAAGTGGCTTAAAGGATTTCCTTGTCCATTCTTTACCTGTACCTTCTTTTCCTCATCTTTTCCTCATTTCTGACCCAAGCCTGAACCAGACGGAGTCACCTAGATCTGGGATCGGAGAGCCATAGACCCCAGCCTCTGAGATGCTTTTCTGGACTGCACCTGCAGGTTAGAATCAACTAACAGATGGCCGGGTGTCAAGAGGGGCAGGGAGAGAGGACACTCTGTGATCTTGTGACAGCCAGTCAAGGCCACTCAGTGGGGAACTGGCCTCACTGGTTCGTGTGGCATTAACACTCTAACTAGTGTCCTTTAAGTCAAAAGCAGTACCTCCCCTTCTCTTCGCATGCTCTCTCTCTAGTGACAGGTAATTATGTTCACCAATTTTTGCTTTCTCTGTATCCTTAAAGGGGAAAATCAACCCCAAAGCTATGTTAGGAGAAGTTCAAGCAGATGCCCTGTGTCAGAATCCCAACAAGAGCTGTCCATTCGGATGTCTCTGCTGCAGGGCCTGCTGAGAGAGCTAACTGCCCCTCGAGCCCATTAAGTTTCCTGTGTTACTTTTATAGACTGTGCTCCTAGACTATAAAGCACTGGTCTGCGCATGGTACCTTTTCCTTACCTCCATTACTTCTGGCACAGATAAAGGAACACAGTGGCACACAGCAACCAACTATGACAGCACACGATTTCCTGCATTAAAAGTACCTCCACCTCCATTCTTACCAGCATTCCCTTTAAAATATCTGTGATAGCAGGGTGAGCATACTCCCCACACTGCTACCATCAAATCGGGAACTCTGAAGGCCCCACATGGCCTCCTGGCTGCATGCTGGGCCCTGATCCGTGTAAGTGCCTCTCCTTTGCTAAAATCCTTCCCCTTACAGGATACACCTATTCCAACAGTCTTACCATACAGTTCATAGCAAAGTGGTTGTGCTGCGTCTGAAGCTCCATTGCATGAGGGTGGCTGGTCCCAATCTCAGTATAGCTGTTCAGAAACAGGCCCTTGTTGTGTGTGATCCAGTCAAACATCTACCGGAGTGAAAAAGACAACCTGAATCACTCCAGAAAGAGAAATGAACTGACATGAACCCAAGGACAGGGCCTAGCGCAGAAGAGGACACGTCCTCTAATAACCTCTCAGACACTTGGGCGTAGGAGATTCTTGACTTCTCAGAAGTCAGCACAGTTCTAACCTTGCAGGGCCTTTAAGAAAATCTTATCTGACTGGTTCCTTTGACAGGTGAGGAATTAAGGAGCAAAGGTATTCAAACCCCCCAGGCTAATTACAATCTCTAATCTTCTGACTCTTAACCCAGCCCCCCAAGCTACACTGAACTACTTAGTGGGCAACAGTTCTCTTCAGTTAAAGACCTGTTAGGTAAAATTAAGGATTTATGGTCTCTGAGAGGGTTCAGCTATTCCCTCAGATTACTGATAGCAATTCCAAAGGCTAAAAGATAATGTTCTTTAATGCAAGAAGTATAAAAGAAACCTGGGCAAATGCAAACAGTCAAATTCACTGTGAAAATGAAAAGGACTGGGAAAACATTTAACAAAGACCTTTCTCTTAAGGCTCAATGGAGAGGCTACCCGGAAAAGAATGTCAATTACGTTGTCCACAGGGAAAGCATTTAAGGGACAAAAAAAGTCTATCTACTAGCATTGCTACTGTAACTTGAGCCAGAATCCCAGAGATGGTCACCCTGTTTTCCTAGTGAAAGGAAGATTCTCTAGTGTCTTTGACAAGGCAGCACTTAAAACCTAAGTACACTGGCAGGTATATTAAAAGCTTACCAAAGAATAGTACTGAATGGTCGCCTTTTGAAAGGTCCTTTTATATCAAAGATTTCTAATGTAGTTTTTTTTTTTACTTTACAGAACATTCTTCTGCCCATGAAGAAAATTCAATGAGCTCAAATTAAGAGTGATCGATTCACCTACACTCATGGCTTGCCACAGATTCCTATAAATAAATGCACTGTTTTCCCATGGCTAAGACCAAGGGAGCTGGTAACTGACAAGAATCCTTGCTGACTGGTTGGTCTGAATGGCACCCAAGAATAAAACATGAGAGCACAAAGAATTATTGCCCGTACCTCCCAGAAGCTATGATTTTTGACACATTATTCACTCTTTTTAAAAAAAAAAAATACTCAGTAACAGATCTGAATGGCGTTCTGTCACTGGCTTTGTACGTGTGGAAGAGCATAATCATTGCTTTCAGTAACATAATCCTATAAAATGTTCACTCTTTTAGCTGAAGATACCATTCTCATCTGGTGTCAGTAATTAATAACTTGAAGTTTCTAAAATAGCACTGCACTGCACCATGCATAACACAGGAAAGCAGATTTCGGGGCGACCTCTGAACTGACACTCTCTCTCTAACCGATGCCGTGAGAGGAGCTTACCCTGCCCCAGCCCTTTCTCTTGACTGAACCAGCCTCCGCTGCTCAGACCTAACGATCCAGAAAGCTTCCCGCACGCCTCACCTTAGCATCCCTCTCCCATGCCCCTTACCTTCTCGGCATCCTGTTCAAACAGCCTCAACTGAAAGCACTGGTCCAGCTTCAGCTTCCGCACGTGCCACATCTGATGCAGATGCTGCCGCGTCGAGTGCAGCCGGTCCAGCATGGCAGACACCTTGGGGAGGAGGCTCTGCAGGTCCGCATTGCCGGAGCCCGAGTTCTTTTTGGGAAAGCTGTCGCTGCTCTGGATCCTCTGGAGCAGCTTCTGTCCCTCTAAGTCCAAGTCCTCTATGGGGGCCTTAACCACCTTCTTCTTCAGCTGAGAGTGTTCCTCGATCATGTTCCGAGCCCCTTCCAGGTCCTGAGGCAACTCCTTCTTGGCCAGGATGTCCTGAAGCTCCTCCAGCCGGGACAGCATGTGGGTTGCATTGCTAATGTAATCTTCAAAAGCCACTCTGATTTCAATCCATTCTTCATGGTTGTACTCTAAGCAGCCGTCGAACTCGGGAGTTAGCTGAGAAGGATCAACTACTTTGGTGAGGCCTTCTAAAGAGACCATGTTTGTCTTAAGGGAAAAAAATAGGTATGAGAAGATGAACCAGCTTTGTATGGTCTTATCATAAAGCAGTCTGCAATGCTTAGTCACAGATTTTCAAACTTATGCCTTGTTCTAGCCCCATAAAAAATAAATGTAAATAAAAGAAGCATTACGGTATCATAGGTGAAAATGAGCCCATCAGAGTAACACATATATGTTAGTAGGAATACCTAAAATTATAGAGTCTTATGTATTCCATGAGAGCTAAAGAAATTAGATTTCTTTCCAAGAATGTGGAAATTATCCCACTATCTTAGTCACATTAACCAGGAAATGTGTTAAATTGCCAAGTTGAGAGCAGACAATTCATAAATTTCCCTTTGGTCAATGCAGCCTTCCCCATCCATGTCACTCCACTATCTCATTCCCAAAAGAGAACTTTGCCGAAGCTTCCTGCTACCCATAATCAAGCTCACTTCTTGTTCATGGGCTCCAAAATGCCTTTGGAGCACCACCTCCCACCGAGGACACTAAATTGTGGGTTGCTTATTGATTGACCAATGCTATTCCAACCAGACCACCCTCATTATTCATCTTTCCTGAACACCACCTCCCATCAAATAACATCTGAGAGGACATGAGTGACTTATTTTTTTAATGTAGAAAATACACAAGGGTTTGCCAGAAAGCTGGCAGAGCTCTTCTCACAAAGGTAAAGACAGAAAATTTCTTCATTGCAAGAATCCACCAGATTCTGAGCAATGCAAGTGGTGTACATAATCTGTACTATGTGACCAAGTTTTAGTCAATTACAAGCTCAACAGGAAATCTTAACCTCACCCTACTTATCAAACTTGCTGCAGGATTATAGAAGAATTATGCCTCAAGGAAAGCATGGGAGAGTGGGGAGATTAAATGCAAAGACAAAGGTAAAGGAAGATTATTTGTGGCCTAGAACCAAAAGGTAAAAGTGAAAAGGGCTGGCTTAGCCACACCTGTCACCTCCAGCTCAGGGAAGCCTGCATCTCTGTGCCGTTTGGTATAAGAAGCTGCAAAGGCGGCAGAGCTAGAAAGCAGGGCTGCTTCTTACCAAGCACTTTTGCTGCAAGGTGACTATAAGTTCACTCCCGTCTCATTTGCCTGGACTTTTAACAATGTCCATGGAAGCAAACAAGTTCAAGAGAAAAACCGGTATAGGTAACCTTAAAGGCCCGAAGGAGAAATCAAATTTAAACTAGCAAAAACTTGTGTGCATTATTTTGCCAAACCATTACTTCTGCTTAAAACACGTATAATTAAATACAACACACTTTAAATTCTGCATCAAGAAAATAGTAAGACCCAATAAATTGGTTCATGTTTCACCTAAATCCCTTGAATGTAGTTTCAAATCAAAACTAAATTCAGTTTTCATTTTGAAAATCAGTACCATGGAAAGAGATTTTAAAATTCAAGCAATACGCATGTGAAACACTTTGGAAAGTGAAATGTAACATAAAGCTTAAGGATGAATACTGGGTGATGTGTTTCATACTATTACTGCTATTGAGGGGGACCAATGTTTTGCGGCCTCAAAATATGCCTTTTGGGATTCTGATTTTAAGCTGATTATTAAAAAATGATAAACTCAGAAAGAACCTTTGACCCTTTACCTGCTTCAGACAGAAAAACCTGCTTAAAGTTAGAGAGCATCACCTTGGCATCACAATATAAACTACAGCTGGCAGACAGGGAAATTTATCAAAGCCTGTTTGTCAGACTCCCCTCTGTGATCCACTGGTTCCTGGGCGGTGCTGCAAGAACTGTTTACTGTGTGTTTGCTCCTTCTCAGCTACCTGGAAATTACCTGCTTCCCCACTGACATCCCAGACCCCCGCCTGCCTCTCCTTTGTCCAGAAGGGCATATAGACCTCCACTGCCCAATGCGTCTTCAGGTCTCACAGTCTCACGGCAACCCCACAAGTACATCCCTAATAAATTCTGGACATCTTCTGTTAGTCTGTCTCGTGTTAAGTTGATTATGAGACCAGCCGGAAAACTTAGAATAGTGGGAGAAAAATTACTTCTTGCATCTCCACATTGTTTACCTTAAAATACATGAATATATTCACTGAACCCTAATGTTTGGGAAAGTTGCTAAAAGCAGCAATCTATGCAACGAAAAGTCATTGTAATTTATTATTAGAAAATATTCCAATTTTATTACAGAATATGTATGGCATTAACCCAGTTTCAAGCTGGCTGGAACACTTTCTTCCCATAATCTTCTCATTAAACTGCACCAAAGCCCTGTCAGAACCTTGGAAGCTGAAGGAGAAGTGATAGACAAAAGGAAAATAAGCCCATATTTTATACATTGTCTGCAAGACAGTGACCTTACGTACCACTCAAAACCAAGAGAACTGAAACTAAACCCACCTCGGGTAGAAGGATCCACTAGGATAACACTATAAATGAACTAATTTTGTTATTTCATGCAGTAACTAATTTTACATATGTACATAAGATATGGACAGATCTTAATATGTGGTTTTAAAAATCTATTATGAGCCTAAAATGATGAGGAAAAAGTCATTTTTCAATAAACCAAATGCATGGTTGGAGCTGGTCTGGCCATACGTGGAAGTTACCTCAAATTCAAATTTAGAGCTGCCAAAATTAGTCCTCTGTTTCTGCCAAAAGTTGTCTGGCTTGATTATCAGTGCAACGTGAATGCAGCAGGGAAAGGACTCCTGCAGGATCTTCAGCAGAGGCTTGATGGAATCCCACTTGGACCCACGCATGTCCACGATCACCGTGAAGCCTCGCTTGCAGACTTCTTCACTGGAGAGAGAGAAAACACATGCTCAAGCTGCGCAACTCTCACCACCTTTTCTGGGCAGAGTCCCGCCGGGCAACGCTGACTCTGCTTCCTTCCTCCTGATGTACTGGCAGGTGGGAACCAGAAGGGAAGGGGCGGCCGTCCCCCCACAGCCTGGCTGCAGGTCAGCACTGCAGGGGGGTCGGAAGGGGCATAGGAGGATATGGAAATCAATTCAGAAGGAGCCCTGGTCTCCCGCTCCCTTGTCATAAAATAGACTCTGGCTATATGTGCCTCCAAGAACGTGCTTCGAAGAATGTGCTTCGAAGAATGTGCCTGGAAACAGAGCTTCAACTTTGAAAACCTTTAAAACTGTCTTTTGTATTCATGGTTTTGCATCCTGTCTCCTCTTTAGGAGAAACAGCTTTTTGTGTGTTAACTGATCACACGCTGCCTAGTAACTATTACAGCAAAGGCCTTGGTGAGCACAAAACGGGACAGACCCCTGGCAGTGTGCACAGAACCCAGGTAGAGGTGTCACACTCCCATGAGCAGCAGTCACCCAGGATTCCCCAACCACAGGCGTGAAAATCCCCCCCCAGTGTGATGGCGGCTAAGGTCGGAGCTTTCCAATGTCATACTTTGTTCCCTCTCACTGTCCCAGGACCCTGGTCTATCTCAGAGGTTCTCCACTGTGGCCCCCCAATCAATGGGGCCTGTGGCGCCCTTCTGGCAAAGTCCAGGGAGTCAATCTATTTTCACAGTAACATTGAGATTATTTGCCATTTTCACCCAGCTGCACTGACAGTGTAAAACAACAGTGGGAACCCTGCTGGCCCTTAGCACTGAGCAGGACAGAGCAAGGAGTCACCATGTTCCTCCTCTCCACGTGCTCACAGTATGAACAAACCAATCAAAGAGCCTTTTCTCTTATGAGTGACCTTGATGAGGCAACAAAAATTACTGATTTTATTAAATCTCAATCCCTGAGTACATGGTAAATACAAATAATATGCTTCTGTAATAAATAAGCAACAAGGGTCAGTGTCTTTAAAGACAGGTGAAAACCCTAGTCTCACTCAGCTGTGGCTTCACTGTCACACGGCCACCCACTTAAGCACAGCCTTATCCACACTGGCACGTGGTGGACGCAGCACACGCAGCTGATGCTGGCGCAGACGTGAGCCAGGGGATGGCTGCCTGCGAGCTCTTCGGAAACACACCTAAGCCTCATGAGCACCCAATGGGATTTTAGGTTTTCACCCAACATAAATGTACTGGGACTATGGGAAAGGTATTTGACATTTTTCCTGCTTTATGTAATCACCCTGAGAAATTAGTCTAAATTAAAAACCCAGAAAACTAATTGCTATCATTAAGAGATGTTAAAAAGCCAAAAAAAATTTAAAGTCAAAATTAAAATCAATTTCATACACTCTTGCATGAGTTCACTCCTCTTCCCTCTCCCTCTCTTCCCTCCACATGTACACACACACACACACACACACACACTCACAGACACACACTTCTTTTCCTTATCTTGATTCGTATCATTGGAGTAACTGATGCCCCAAATTCCACAGATGTAAAGTCCCTAAGACAACTACAGTACATGAGGCTTGTCACAAAAATATTCTGAAAAAGTCTGTGGGGACAGAGCCTGAATAGATGGTGGCTGACACTATAAGGAACTTGCTATTGAAAGCCACAGAGAGAAAGCGGAAGGACCTAGCAGCCTAGCTTATCAATGAAATGTGGAGAACTACAGGAATGATCTGATTAACTTCAGAGACCTACTCCTATATGACTATGAACTGGAAAAGAGTTAACACTTGGCTCACACACCTCTCTGGGTGTTAAGTAGGTCCTGGGCCACAATCCAGCCACTACCCAAGGCCTCCTTCACAAATCCTAGAGGCCAACAGGGCTTCCAGAAATGTCTGAAAATCTCCCATGTCCTGAAATGAAGGATCCTCGACCTCCTGGGCTCTAATGGGGTTTGCAGTGTTGCAAGATCCCATTCTGCAGAAACATCAGGGCTCCAGGCGCCTGGGCAAGGCCAGCCCGAGCAGGAGGAAGCCTGCCTCCGCGGAGGTATTCTGCTCCAGGCTCCCACGCTCTGCTGCCACACAAAGACGGACGGACACTGTGCAACCCTCACTGTGTGTTGTACTGTTTTATTAGTTGCTGTTTGGTAGACTGCGCTTTAAGCATCAGTCTTCACCATACTGACACAAATTCGCTGGCAGCCTGTCTTTCTCCTCACATAGTCCCACACAGTATGTACATTCAACTACAAAGCCCCTTCACTTGAAAGGGGCTTAAGACAAATCCTGACTAACTCCAAGCTTAACAACAGGACCAAGCCAAAGAAGGAGACAACCAAGAGGTGCCCTGAGCTTACAGTTTACAGAAGGATTAGCTCCTCGCCTTCCTCCACAGGCAAATGTTAGCACCCAGTGAACAGGGCTGGGCTGGGAAAGCGCCTGTCATTGGTCAATCCTTGGTCAATCCACCTGTCTTTACCAACTTCTAAGTCAGTCATTATTAGGAAAATAATGACTTGCAAACTTCCCCGAGCCCAGTTCTGTTCGTGAGCAGCTGAGGAACAAGTGCGGTTGGCAACAGGAGATGGGCTACAGCTATTCCTCCGCCGTAAAGACTTTATTACCCAGTATTTTACTGGAAAGTGTGACTCATGAAGCAGTTTGGTTGGCAGTTTTATCAAAGAGCCTTGTTTTATCTGTGAGATACGGAAAATTCTGCTAAAACTGAAGTCCCTTCTCAATGCAGGTCTCCGAAGAAGAGAAATTCTACTTTCTTTAGCTCCTAAAGAAAGTCCCTTCTTATATTTAAGTTCATGAATGGATCCATTAAAAGTCTCCACATTATTTCATTAGGGACCAAAGAGAGTGGGAGTGCTTTATCCATTCAGCTACTATAAATCATTTTAATGTTCTAGAACATAATTAGTATAATTCAAGCAATAAGAACAATAAAACCTAGAGATGTACCAAGAACGCTGTGATTTTCATCGTGGTGCAGGAATCCCCACTACACCAGTGAGAAGTTCTCCTACACACATGCACTGGAAAGTTTCCTTGCACAGGAATTACATGAAAATCGCTCTACTACTCCTTTTTTTAAAGGAGAGAGAGGGGAATGGAAGGTGACCCAAGTAATAAATTCTCAACTACTCACCTCTCAGATTACATTACTCTGAGGGCCACGTTCTGAGAGACACACAGGCAACTTAGAGGCCATGCAGAAGGAAAACAAGACCGTCTGGCTCTAGAACGCGTGTCAAAGGAAAATCACTGAAGGCGAGGAGAAGAGCGAATCGGAAAGATGGAAATTACTGTACTACTTCGCAGGCAGCTACCGCACCTGAGGCACTGCGCTGGGCGTGTACGTGAGTACTCTTACTCAATACTTACAAGGATCCAAAGAAGTATAGATTAGCATCACATTTTGTAGATCAGAATATGGATAAAAGTAATTAGTGCCTTGTGCCAGGCCACCGTCTGCCTCTGCCCATGCTTTCCAGGATGGCACGTGTCTCCACGTTCCGGAGGGTGCAGCCCTGTGACTGTCTGGCTGAGGGAGAGCCAGAGGCTACCTTCACATCGCAGGAAGTTTCGGGAGTAACAGGCAGGGGAAGAAATCTCATAGGCCCTCAGGACTACTTAAACCACTCTGAGGCTACAAGCAAGCCCACCAGTGCCCCCAAATTCACACACCATTAGTTTGCTGATGATCTTTATGGACCCTGCTGCTGGGCTAAAACAGTGCTCACTAGAGGCAGCACAGCTCCTTTCCGGTCAGTGTGGATCCTGGGCGGGCTCAGAGATGACTCATCCTGCCGCTACTTTATTCATTTGGACCACTGTGAAATTTTCCTCCATTATCACCTGGCAAATGCATCACTTACATGTTATTCTCACCTATTAATCAAGGACAAGCAAAGTGGCATTTCCTGTCACTTGAAACTGTAAATAGAAAAGCAAATCTAGGCAATGAAATGAAGCGACCACACTCAGTAGTCGGACAGTCACCCTATGCACTTAAGTGTTGATGAGCAAAACAATAGAATGTCTAGGATTTGTTATAAAATATTCCAGGGGGAAAATTAGAGAAAAACAAGATTGGCGAAACTTGCTAATTGTTGAAACTAATGACAGGTATCTGATGTTTGCTACACTGTTCTGTCTACTTTCGTGTATGCTCACAAATTTCCAATGACAAGGTGTTGTATTTTTTTTTAAGTGGGTCATCCAGGTGATCTAAATATACCTGAATCAATTTCTTGATAATATTTATACTCCTTTGTCTGCTTGGAATTCAGGCTGGGGTTTAGCTGTTTTCTAGAGAGCACAGTGCCATATCTTGGAACAGTGAAAACAGTGAGAAGCCCCAAACCACTAGAACTTAATGTGAATGAAATGAAAAGTAATTGTTTCATTTACAATCAGAACAGATTTCAAAACCAGAGAGCACGGTGCCAAAGTTACATACAGCAATTCAATTATATAATTTTTTAAAAAATCACCTGGATGATACCAAATTCAGCTTGTTTTTCATTAAACTATATGCTGACTATCATTTGGCTTGGTAAGACTTTTTCTTACATTGTCCTTTGTATTGCTCTGTTTCTTTTTCCATCGTTAGCATAGTACCAGCACATAAGAACTCAGTAAGTGGCAGCTATCAACTATATTGTTATTTAGAAATGACAGTGAGTCGTATATAACTTCTAAAACTCTTTCCAGCTCTTTGCTTTCAAGTTCAGCAGTCCAAGAAAATACCACAGTAAGAGGAAAGGGAAACACTTTCTGTGTAAGTAAGGCACTGTCACTTTGTCACTGATGATACAAGGTGACAGTTCTCCCATAAAGGACCCCCAAACAGAAAACCCAACAACTTCCTCAGCAGGTCAGACAGTCGCTTCATCAGCCGCAGCAGGGATGGGTTACAAAAGGGCACAGCTGTCCTCGCTGGTTGGTGCCACAAACCCTGTGCTGGGAGGACCTAGTACATTCACCTCAACCTTTAGATCCCATTATGCTGCTACTGACCCTCTTTTATTATTCTCTACATAACATGCTCCTTAAAGTTCCTAGCTCCTCTAGCCTGTATTATGGCCGACTTTTTTTGTGTTTTTTTACACATCCTAATTTAGTCCCTTAGGAAATGCCCTCCTTTAGCGTATGCCTTTCTGGAATAAAGATTCCCTTTTCTTCAGAGGGAAGCACCCCTCCAACGCTCAACACACAATCATCTCTTGTTCCAGGCGTGGCTATATCCTTAGATGATATCACAGTAGTATTCTGTTTTCCAAAAAGTAATCTGGACAATTAAATGGAGATATTAATGGGGGGGGGAGGAGGTGTCTTTCACTGCTTGTCAGCCAGCGCTGGAGGTAAAACCTCAGTTAGAGCAGAAACAAAGATTGTATATTCCTCAAGTACACACACGGGCCGATTCCTCTTTGTTCGTCCCCACTTCAGGTCTGTCTGGAAAATAAAGCTTCACCTGTTCTTGGTGTTCTTCAGCATCCAGGCTAAAAATCTCCCTGACCACCACGAACGGTCTCTCAGACTGAATGGGGGCTCCCAAACCTGAAGTCTTGTCATACTAGTTGGGAAGGATTTTAATGCCCCACCAACTTCATGCTACAAATCAACAGAATATTTATAAGGAACCACAGCTCGGCATGAAGACAGTGGTATCAGAAACCGCTCTCCCTGGGCGTCCAGGACCCTGCGTCTTGGGATCAGAATCAACAACCACAAGTCGCCTTCATTTCTACCTCAGGCACCATGTCCTACTACCCCAGCCAGTGGGCATCCCAACCCCACCATCACCCACAAAGCTCTTCAAACATGCACCTCTCCTCCCTCACCCAGAAGTGTTGTAAGCATGACAGGATGTCACAATGTGCAAACGAGGAGAAAGAACATAGTTTTAACTTTATGCTACTCTGTCTGCTTGGAATCCAGGCTGAGGTTTAGCTGTTTTCTAGAGAGCATGGTGCCACAGCTCAGAACAGTGAGAAGCCCCAGCCCCCCGGGACTTACCTAGGGATACAGGCTAGATAGGAAATGAGTCTCCTGAGGTCCTCCTGTCGTATTCTGTCATGATTGCTGCGGGCGGGGAACGTTAAGATGGGACCTCCACGCTTATCTCTGCCACCTGAAAAACACACATGTGGAGCACACTCAGACAAAAACAAGAGCGGACAGGACACTAATGTGGCACCGGAAGTCCAACAGTGTCACCCTCCATTCACGAAAAGCTGCACCTCTATCAAATGCAAGGCCAGAAAGGACCGTGCAACAGGGCCAGGCTAGGTCACCCCTCCCGGGCCTCAGCAGAAAAAGTCCTAGCTCTGCACACCACCGGAGGATATCACAGAGGCCTTGTCCTTTCCTTCCAACATGTGTCCTCCTTTCTTCAGTTTTATGTTTGGAGAGAAAAGTTTTCACGCACATTTGCCTTGAACCACCATCCACATCCTCCCACCACCCACCACCCACCATCCCTCTCCTCCTACACATTGCTCCCCCTCCCCTCATATTCTAAGCTCTCCCTTTGCTATCACCCAAACTGGGATTTAAGCCTTGCAAGGGAAAAAACAAGAATGTTCTTCAAACCTCACGCTCGGGACTTTATGTAATCTGGATCCAGGGTGTCTTCCTTTCTCGAGGGCAGTAGCCAACCCCAGTGGCCAAGTTTTACCAATCTTTCACACAAAGCCACATATACAAAGAAAGGAAGGTGGGCTACTCATGCAAGAATTGTAAAGCAGAACTAAACTAGTCAAGGACTTTGGAAAATTACAACACATACTAAATACAAATCTCAGATGATGACTGGCCTTTGACAGACGGGCAGCCATATTTCTAATTAACATAGACACAATTCTAGTGAAGTCTGCTGGTACCACTGACCATTTTCAGTGAAATTGTCACCTATATTTTATTAAGTCTATCAGGGTTTTCAGGAAAGAATACAGAAGGGAAACTGAGCCTTCCCAGGTGGATCCTCCATTTAGTTTTACAACTCTGGGCATCTCTCTCAGAAGTACAGCACTAAGATCTCAAAATTCAAGTCACAATATGCAACTCTTAATTGTTTTATCATCTTAATTACTTACCTCATCTGCACAGGTAAAATCAAAAAGCAAACAAAGAGCAATGACAGAAAGCCAGATTGTTTCCTTTTCAAAGGTCAAGAAAGTATTCAGCAGAAGCTATTTTAAAAATACATTTTACCAATACAGGCGTTTACAATTTCCTGGGATGGTTAACATGCTTTCTAAACAGGAATAAAACTTAATTCTGATCATTTAAAACGATCCACATGTACTGTTCAGTCACACAGCCTGGAAAAGTGTTATTTACAATTCCAATAATTCTGGTATTAAACGGGGAATACACTAAATCATAGCTACCAGAACATGCTGTGTGTAGTACCCAGTGGTTGATACACACGTTCTCATTTGATCACCACAATGACCCTATTAAGAGGTTTTATCATTCCAGCCATATAAGTAAAGATACTGAAGCTCAAAGAGCTTCAATAAAGACAAAGGACTCTGCCAGCATGGTCACAGTGGGTCCTTCACCCTGGCAAGAATTTATATAATTTTTCAAACTAGTGGCTTTAGATATTTCTAAAGTAGTAAAAATGTCATAAGGACAACTAAACAATGAGTTCCTGGACTTTTTTATGAATGAAAGAATTCATTCAAAAAAATTAATGAGCCCTGGCTGGTGTGGTTCAGTTGGTTGAGCATTGTCCAATGCACCAAAAGGTCACGGTTCCATTCCCGGTTGGGGCCAAGCCCAGATTGCTAATTAGGTCCCTGGGGGGGGAGGGGAGGGCAGGAGGCAGCCAATCGATACTTCTCTCTCTCTCTCCTTCTCCCTTCTTCTCTCTCTAAAATCAATAAAAACATTTATTTTAAAGTGAGAAGCAGTTATAATGACTAGATTGTCATTACCAAGTAATCATCTAAAACATCATAGTATTTTTAGGGCAATATCAATGGCTCTGGTTTTTTGGAATACCTCTTGTCTCCAATATAAGACAGGAAACAATTTCAATATTTTAATTCCCCAACACCTTTCATTCTTTTCAAAAAGTAATCAATATCCTTAATCAAAAATATTATAGCTCAACACATTCACTCGACTCTTGGTAAAGAGAATTTCATCTAACATTTTTCTGGACCACTATTCCAAATTTTTTTAAATGCAACATAATGTTGGACTCAGTAGGGAGACGGAACGCCAATGACCTGTGGTCAATTCTCCTTTCTCTAAGGTCATCATGTCTCTTAATGCAAGCAAGGTAAGCTCTACCATGGTGTAAAAAGTAGAATCCAAACTCTACCCATCAGCAGGTGTCATGCGGGGAGTCAGCAGGCAGGCACACTGCACACGGCCACCTGCTCACTCCAGAGGTGAGAGCTGAACTAAGTGTATGCAGGAGTGTGGGCTGCTGCCCTGGTACTGCTTCACCTTTCAGCTAGAGATCTTCCCCACGCTGGAATCCCCTGGAACTTACTAGCAGCTCATTCCCCAATCAGGCTCCCGCTCGTGTCCTAAAGAAAGCTTACTGAAACCTATACGTGCATTTCAAAGTAAAGGGGGAAATTCAATTTGTCTTTTTTCCTTTTCCCAGAATAGAGCTTCAGAAAACTCTCTAGGGTAGTTTTAAACCTTTATCAAAAATCACTTATGAAATAAAAATTGCATATTGCATATTCTCTATTTAAATAATTTAAAATTTTGTTTTCACTTGCTAACCTCCCTGCATTGGGGTGTATCTTCCAATCTGGGGTGTGTCACAGTCAGTGACAGGCCAAAATCACCCATCTGCTGACCCCTCCCAGTGAGGTAAAAAAATCAATACAGTAGAATCAATGAAATGTAGTACATGGTCTCTGAGCCCCAAGGAGCTTAAAAGCAATGCCACAGATTCTGTTTAGATTATAGGCCCCAAGATTTAGCTTGTTTGCCAATGTCACAGAAGTACCCAAATAAAAATACTGTTTGGATTATGAAGCAGAAAAGTTACAACTTTAAAGTTCTTGTTCCTGAACTAATAAATATAATAATAATGCAGCTTATAAAAGCATCATCTACTAGACATAGTAATATGTGTCTGATGTCAACCCACAGCCTCATGGTGAGGCGGGCAGGACAGATGTCAGTCCCATTTTATAGACAGGAAACTCAGCACCTTAGTTTGGACAATAAAAAGAAAAGGGCAGGAAATTCACTTCCTGCACCTACCAACGTCACAGGATGTCTATGTAGGAGAGTTTTACAGTCTCTGGACCTTCCTATGTCTGTAATCAAAAGCCAACAGCTCACGAGGGAGTATCTGCCTAGCCAAATGCGTGTTAGTCAAAAAACAAAAGAAAACAAAGAGCACTGTTTTTTGTTCCTAATGACGCTGTTTTATTTTTCAGTACTTATAAAAACCACGTTCTCTCTACTCCTCCTCTCCCCATCTTTTATTTCTGTAAGGCACCTATCAGCTTCTAGTCAACTATATAACTTACACATTTTTTTGTTTGTCGGTCTCCCCAATAAGAATGGAAGCCCTATGAAGGCAGGTACCTTTGTTCATTCAATGACATCAGTCTACATTCTCGATGCCTAGTGAGAGACGGGCAGATAGAAAAGGTGCTCAATAGATGTCTGCTGTATGAATGGAATCATCTTCTACATTCCACATAGAGTTAATTAAAAATACCTGCCATCAGGTATCGGGAAGTTAAAAATGGGACTGTCTGAACAGTCTGAGTCTTGCTGCTTCTGGTCATTCTGGGCCATGCTGCTCAAGAGACCAAGAGAGAAATGAGTCTCACTGGATTTAAGGAAGTAATTGTATACAGACATTTGTAGCTATAACGTGGGACCTTTTCAGCCTTCTTTTTAATATTGAAATAAACCTCAGTTTATTTATCATCTGTGTTTCCTACAAGAATAAAGACTCTAAGAGGACTCTAGAGTTCTGGAAAGGCCTCTGATAGCAGCTGAATTTCCAGTCAGTCACTAAGGACTCAGACCATACTAGATACTAATAAAAATATACAAGATGAATGGGAGGTACCCCTTCCTTCCCTTTCCACAAAATGCTGAATTCTGCAAAACTGGAACAAGAAGAATTAAAGTAAGTAGTCACAATACTAATAGCAAACCTCTGGGCAATCCAATTCTACCTTACTGCCAATACCTCCACTTGCAAAGGTGAATGTTCACCTTGCCCCAAAAAAGCTATTCTAAAAAAGTAACCCAAGGTCCATCCACAGGCAACTGACTGAATAAACTGTGGAGTACATACACACAGTATAGTCACATACAACTGTAAAAGAAATGACTCTAGATGCACTGCGATATACTCTCTAGAGCACTGTTTAAAGTGAAACAAGAGGGACAGAGAAAATGGTGCATAATAATTACTGTTTATCTAAGGGAGGGGGGTATGAGAATAGATTGATGGATAGATAGAATGCTCTTATTTTAAAAGTATAAGAAATAACCCCAAACTAAAGAAAACAAAACAAAAATATGTTTCCTACGGGGGAGTAATGGTACAGGGTGAGAGAGGTAAAGAGAGAAACTAGATTTAACTAGTTTTTTTTAGATTTTAACCTTGGAGTGATGTACACATTTTACTTAATATTGAAGCAGATTAGGTGGCTGTTTTGGTGTGTTTTTTTAAGCCTTAAAAATAAAGCACAATGAAACAAATGATCCTGAGTTTCAAGTTGGTAGGAACTGGATTCACACAGAGAGGAACTATTTTATGTGACTTTAAAACACACCAATAGTACAGCACATTCCTACTGGTATATGCTCCTGGACAACAAAACAGAAGTCACACTGTGGCACAATAGTATTACCATGTAAATAAGCAATTATGTTCATGAGAGTAGGAACTAAGATTTTTAGCATAAGGAAAAGGAAATACACGTACATAATAAAAGAAAAAGAAAATATCTGTAATCCCAAATGTGAATTAAAAATTTTATTTTATTATACTTTTTAAAAGATTTTTAATTGAGTCCAGCTGGCGTGGATCAGTGGTTGAGCATCAACCTATGATGCAGGAGATCACCGTTCAATTCTCAGCCAAGGCACATGCCCAGGTTTCGGGCTTGATCCCCAGAGGGGGATGGGGGGGTGTGCAGGAGGCAGCCGATAGATGACTCTCATCATTGATGTTTCTATCTCTCCCTCTCTCCCTTCCTCTCTGAAATCAATAAAAACATATTTAATGTTTAAAAAGATTTTTAATTGACTTTTTTGAGAGAGAGGAAAGGAGAGGGTAACATCAGTGTTAGAGCAAAACATTGATTAGCTGCTCCTGGGGATCAAGCCCACTACACGGGCATGTGCCCTGACCGGGAATCAAACCGGCTACCTTTCCTTGCTCAGGAGGGTGCCCAGCCAACTGAGCCACAACAGCCAGGGATAAATTGAAAATTTTAGTATGAAGTTATGACATCTTTCCTCACTGGAAAAAAAAATACACACACAATTTCCTAGATGTGTTCACTGAAGAGACAGAAACAATCACCCCAGAGGAGCAGCGAGCTTCCCTAGCACCCAGCACCTTTCCCCACCAGAGGAACCAGGGGAGTTTAGAGAAATGGCTGGCTGGCTGCCCATGTGGAGCAGGAAACAGACAAGTTGGACATGAAACATTTGGTCACAGCAGTGTAGAGAAGCTGAAATACTGTGGTACAAGGACTCAGGAGCCACTCTGAAGAGGCTCCCACTGTCCAAAGATGAGAAAATTTTAACTTCTCCAAGAGAAAAAGAAATGTACAGTGAATTAAAACACATCAAATACATTTAAAATCATGAGTTCAAAATGATACTAAAAAAACCCCTCAACGGGTTTTTTAGTCTAAGATGTCTAATGGTCATCTTTCATTAGTCTGAAAACTGGTAAAGGACAAGAATCAGTCACTTATCCTGGGTTCTCAGGGTAGCCCAGGAACTGATGGTGCGACTCTTCTCCTCATGGAATATCCAAGTTGACAAATGAAGAAGAAAGGATATAGTTAGACCGTCAGCATTTTGCAGCCCTAGTAACATACTAGATCTGCACAATGATCATCAATAAATGCTTCACTAGACTCTCCCTGTAAAACTCCCAGTAGAACTACCCACCACCACCCATGAAGGATTTCTGCCTTCTTACCTGCAAAACCTAAGCTAAGTCTAATCAAGCCTCGAGACTTAGCTCCTAGTTACAAGCAATACAGGGAAAGGGGAACATGTTAAATGACCACCCAGGGATGCAACCAGCAAAATCTAATAAAATGTAGGAAAATTTACAGGAACACGCCTGGTTTCCTCACCTAATAAACATGAAGGGGTAAGACAGAAATAATGAGGAGGAAGAATCTACAAATTAAGAGAGACATCAGACATACCAACTAGTTGTGATGTGTGTCCTATAGAAAAAAATCACAAGCAGGGAAATGTGAATACTGATTGGCTTTTTATATTAAAAAATTACTACTCATTTTTAGGCCTGTTAATGGAAGTATAATTTTTTTTAGCCTTATCTTTTACTGAACTAAATATTTATAAATAAAATGACACGATATCTGGAATTGACTTCAAAATTACTCACAGTGAAGGGAGGGAGGGGTAAACAGCAACATAGATGAAACAAGATTACTGACGCATACCATGAGTCCATGAAAAGTCACTACACTATCCTCTCCTGTGAGGGAGGTTGAAACGTTCCATGACAAAAAGTTAGGGGGAAAAGTGTTGGGAATTCTGGTAGTTGTCTGTGAGTTCTTTCAAGGCCCAAACCCTAGTGGCACAGGAACTACACGTCACGGGTGAAATTACATATAAGATGTCATAGAGAACAGATATAGATGAGTATATATGTATGTGTAAACACACGCACATTCAATACATAATATATGCTACATTAAATATATATACTAGAAATATATGTAACGTATTATGTATATATATAATAAACATAAACTACACTTGACGTGCACACACACATACACATCATGAAGTAGAAACCACAGGGCACACTTCTTTCAGTGGCCCTCCTTCTGGCTTCAGGCATGAAGTTAGATATGTCATCTAACCTCATTTAATTCACCCTCTGAATGGAGAAAGTAGTATTTTGCTATCTTACTTAAGTGCAATGAGGATTACTTTTTAGAGTACCTAGAGATGAGACTGAGGATCAGAAATATCTGAGTTCAAGAAAACCTCACTGGTTTTTTAGATCGTGACCTAAAAAGTAGCTCATGGAATCACCGACACTTTGGCCTGCTTTTCAGAAGCCCTGGCTACTCACTTACATTTGATTTACGAAAAGCCACTCATATGGAGAGCTTTTACAAAAGTAGCATAATATCCCCTAATATTTTTAAAAATGGGGTCTTAGCAGAAAATTAGCAGTTGCCAGTGCAAGGGGTGGGGACTTGGGGAACTTGACGGGGGGTTCTCTGGGGGTTGATGAAAATGTTCTAGAATTAGACTGTGATGATGGCTGCACAATCTTATAAATCCACTAAAATCCACTGAATTGTACTATAAAAAGGTAGATTTTATGTTCTGTGAATTACTTCTCAACTAAAAAAAAAAAAAGGGGTTCACAGGTTAAGTTTTTTAAAAAGTTAACTCATTCTTTGTAAACCACTCCCCCCAAATTTTATCATACAAATAACCATTTGTTTCTAACTTTACGATTTTTTTTTCCCTTTCCCCTTACTAAGTGAGATATCAGTAATCCTAAGGCAATCAGCAGTCAGTTCACACTAATGCAGCTTGCCAATTCTAGTCATAAATTAGAAAGTACTATAAAATCGTGGTGGCGCCTACTAACTTCACCTCGTTAACACAGCTGGTGAAGTTCCACCACCTCTTATATTTTAAAACAGTTCCATATCAAATTTTTTGCAATGCAAACCTTCCCTCCCCACTAAAGATACCCAGCTTGAATTATGTCTGCAGAATTTAATGTTTTAGCATAATTCATGACATAATTCTAAAAGATTAATGATTTCATTTCTTCAATTTGTTAAAGGATAGTTTTATTTTTAATAGGAACTTAGATTTTAAAAATGCCATCTAATAATACATTGTGTATTAAATGCCTAAAAAAACAATGAATACAAATCAAAATCACCAATCTTAACCTTCCTCAGTTTTACATGTCCATCTCCAGGGCTTAACAAAAAAAGAAAGTGGAACAACTAGAGGTTTAGGAACAAAAGGGGGGACAGAAGGAACAAGTGGTCTCATCACAGATCCAAACTTTAAAATAAAAGCTGATGAACATGCGGGATCAGGTGTCTGTAAGCCTTTCTTATTGATGCCTCTTATATTTATAAGTAGAGTCTTTTCATTCTATTAACTTTAAAATCCATCTGTAAACTACGAAGTCAGGAGTTCACAAAACTGGCATGAGTCCATATTATGTAGCTTGTCAGGAACTGATTAGAAAACAGCAAAGGCTACTTTTAACAGTGAATTGCAAGCCAAGAGTTGTTTGCCTTTTCATTCTTTAACCATGTGTTCCCATCGATCTGAAGCACCTTCTTGTTTTCATGAACTTTGTATAATCTTCTGCTAACATTCCAAATGCGTTATGCATTAGATTTACTTCAGCAAAATCATCAAACAGTGTCTGACAGGGGCCAAAAAATACTGCTAGACAGAAAGCAAGGTAAGAGTAACAAAAATACCATAGGAAATTGCGTCCTAAATATACACCAATCCCATGGGCCAAAAGGACACCCAAACCATATAAAAGCAGCTAGCAGTGTTATAAATTCAAAATAAAGTATTCAAGAGGAGACATCGATCAGCATCGTATGTCTGGTTTGGGAAGGATGACCAGTTATCAAGGGAAATACATCCAGGAAGACTGTCTAAAAGCATGTGACCATCCACAGATTTACTTCCTTGTAAAACAGAGCAGAAAAATCTCTCAAACCTTTGCTTTTGTAACAAGTAAACTGGCACCAAAAAGGTGGAATACCCAATAGCTGTTCTGTTTCCCAAGGAGACAATCTCCAAAAACCCCTAAAGCTGACCCTGTATGTGCAGAGGGGAGGGCAGTCAAGTGGCCTAAAGCCTGGAGGACTGGTGCAGACTGTCACCACGCTACAGGAGGGCCAGGTGTCCCAAGCACAGGGTTCTACAGGTAAGTGGAGGACCCAGCTGGTAAAGACCACCAGGGTTTTCACAGTCCATGACAAGGGTTCTAGTAACTCCAGGACCAGAGTGGCCAAGGGAAGAGTCATGGATCCATGGGCGTCCTCACTTCCCCAAAGAGGAGGCAACAGGTAGCTACAAAGTACAAGAAACCAAGGTAAAAAATTCAGGACATGTCGACACACGGTCACATTCCCACCACTTTTGCTGAGATGACAAACTTTTAAAAAAATCAGTTGTTTTACCTAACTGATCAGGGCAAAGGAGCCAAATGTTTGTGACAGCCACAAACATTTGAATCACCAGTGTTACCTGACCTACACTGTGCCTGCCAGCAGAAGAAAATGCTTTGGGCACTAATTTCTCAGGAAAATACTACAAGAATAAAGCAGTTAAAAATCCACAGAAATACCAGTGCTCCTGTGGGTGTGGCAGGTGAGCTATTTCAGACTCTGTGTGATACTATGTCAGAAGTAGTCAGAGGATCAATAAAAGCAGGTCAGAAAGTTAAACTTTACCTGAAAGGTATGCAACTTTTTCCTTTAAAATTGGCAAAACATCCATAGCTTTCATTTCATCGTTTTTTCGAAACCCTGAAATACAGAAGAAAATAAAATTATCAGGTTGCTTGAATGATATTTAATTTTTTAACCATTCTATCCAATGCCAACACAGCAGCTTTCTTTACACCCATTAAACCAACTCTAGAAATATCATCATTTGAAAACATTTTAATTCTGTGAAGGAAAGTCTCTGATCACAGTTATCTTCTATTTTAATATAATGTCAAGCAATGATTTGCCCACAGACCCGGAGGCTATTGTACGAAGCAGGCTCCTGGCCATTTCTAACAATCAAAATCTGGTCCCAAAAAGACAGGATATAAAATCAGTTCACATCATTTCAAAAATCTTCATTTTAATGTTGTAGATTAATATAAATACTGGCAAATAAAGTAGCAACATTGTTTTTTTAAAACTGCTGTTTTGGCACACTAAAACCCCTAGGGGGAGCCCAACACCTCATCCTATCAGACCAGAGTCAAAAATAAACAGTGGCAGGGAGGAGAGAAGTGATTATAAATAGCTGGGGACTGGCCACAGCTCCCAGTTGGCTCTGTCCTTCCAGGCTTTCTGGGTCATGCCCCCCTGGAGGAATGTCATGTGGTAAGATGGCCCAGTGCCACCTGCTTTAGAGGGTGGCCAAGGCCCTCTTCTCACTTCAAACCAACTCTCCCTACACCCCTCAATACCTTAGAAGGCCAAGTGGAAATCTTGTGGAGAAACATGCACCAGGCAAGCTGGGCCAAGCCAACGTCCATTTAATAAGCAAAAGGAATTCTTGCAGCCCAAACATGTCCAGCCCAGCTCACCAAAGCGAATGCCCACATGGAAGTTTGAGGTAAAAAATGTCCATACTCATGATAGCATAGCCCCAGGATATTCCTCTTGGAGGTCTCTAACAGAGGCCATCTAGGTTCAAGGATGCTGGCCTGCTCATCAAAACTAGTAACTATGGTCACTGACAGAGCACTCTCTAGAAAAAAATAAAAGACTGCTGTCCCATCCCTATTTTCCTGTTTGTTTCTGCCAAAATAGTACAAGAAACGCATCCAAAATGTAAGCTTGGTACCAACCAATGCAAACACAGAGACCGGAAATTAGAAAGTAAACAAATGGAGCTTCCACTTCAGGTCTGTTTGAGGGGCTCTTATTGGGCCAGCTCTGCCACAAATTAAATCTACAAAACACAACTCTCTCAAGGCACTGGAGAGTGACCAAAAGCAGAGAGAGACACTTGGGAAAAGGAAATGACATTAGGTGTATTTCCCCTATTAGGGCTTTTAGCCAGAGGACAGGGCCCAGTCTAAGCCACATGGAGCTGCTAATGTTAAGCGAAATAAGACAGGCAGAGAAAGACAAATATCACATGATCTCACTTATATGTGGAATCTAAAGAACATAATAAACTGATGAACAAAACAGATTCAGTGACATGGAAGCATGGATCACATTGACGAATCTCAGAGGGAAGGTGAGGGGGTGAGTGAGTGGGGAGAGATTCCCCAAAGAATCTACACGCATAGATGCATAACCCACGGACACTGACAACAGTGTGGTGAAGGCCTGGGGAGGGGAGTGGATGCAGAGGGGAAGAGGTCAATGGGGAAAAAAGGGGACATCTGTAATATTTTGAACAATTAAAAAAAAAGAATCAGGACACAGCTCAGAATGACCTCAGCAGCTGAAATTGAGAGAAGAAACTGTGGAAAGGAGAAAGGGAGGCCCCAAATTCAAAGTACAAAATTGGCCCAAATCTCTGTTCCCTGAGCCTCGCATGTGCTGGGCAGGCTCCAAGCAGCCTAAGCTCTAAGCTAAGGATGAAAGACCTGACCAAGGTTTGAGTTGTTGCCCACTGCAAAGGAGACGGAGTTTGTAGCTTGAGTCCAGCCAAAATAGCCTGCTAAAGCAAGCTAGCAAACGACAAACGCAGCACCTCTGGGAGGAATATAACCGAATCCAGTCTCTACAACATTATCATTTCCAGAAGCAAAGAATGACTATATTAATGGTGTGGTTTGATTTTTTTTAAAGTAAACCTTTCCTGTCCATAGAATGTATATACTAACAACCCAGTTTAATGGAATTAACAACGACACTGACAATCACCAGAGACTTTGCACAAAGTCGGCAGCAAACAAATCTTGATGAGGACCCTGAGGTCCAGGAGGCTCAGTGGTACCACCTAGCTGGTCATGAAAAGGCTTGATGCAACCCGGACCTCCAGATCACCAGGCCATTTGGCTTTCCAACATACCACGCTCTGTGCTGGCAACCTACCAAGCTTGTAAAACAGTGGCTATTTATAAAAGGCAAGACAAGAGCCAAGAGTTCTGGAATTTCATCCTTAAGGTTCCTTCAAAACTCTTGAATGGATGCAATCTGGTCTCAGCAATTCATTGCCAGTCACTGGGTAATTCACTGAACGTGCCTACGAGATTGATTACCTCCAGTTCCATTTGAGGTTGGCACAGGTGGCAGTAGGGCAAATGCAAAGAGAAATTAGGCACCACCTCGGGCCTCAAGGAGACAAGTTTACATATACCCATAGAAAAGGCATAGTATGAAAAGTTCCATAAGCAGCACAAAATGCTAGGGGACCCAGGCAAATATGGAAGCAGACAAAATTATAGAAATACTAGAAAGAATTAAGCCTTCGCTATAGATCCCAATCTATAGGACTTGAAAAGGATCCCCTTTCTATTACTACCAGATTAAGACAAGGCATGCTTCCTACCATGCCCACAGCTGCCCTGGCCAGGACACAGCACAGCCCTCTGAGAAGTATCACCACAAACTGCAGTCCTGGACTCCCACAGTCCAGAAACAGGAGCCCCACCTATGGGTCCAGCTCCCTTTCACACAACCCTCCACAAGGAGAATGTCCTAATCCCAGTGCTGGTGCCTCAAAAGAGGACTATGTGACTTCTAATAATTACAAAGCATTCCTGACCATTCCTGCTGACTCTCTGAACACACCCATTTATTAATACTCTTGATGGAGTGGATGATGAAAGTTAGAGCTGCCATGTTCCAGGCCACCCCACAGGAAGAATATCGTATCGATGCAAAAAGAAGGCGAAGAAAACAAAACTTAAGAATGAAAATCGCAATTTCCTACATCGTACTATAAGCCACAAACTCATTTCCAGCTGTATTTTCAGCTTCTTAAAACTGTGGTTACATTAGCCTATCAGTTCCTGAATTTCTCCCCTAAATAAAACTCAGTCTTTCTAGGAGGAAATGCTTGTGAATTGATGGCTAAACTGGTATTGAAATGTGTTATACCTGTATTGTGATTTATGCACATGTCCAAACACAGACTAGGATACTAATTCTAAACAGTTTTACCACCATGTTTTTGTTGACTATGTCACAGAAAAAAAGAGATGTTAACTTTATTAAAATTGTCAATTAAAAGTTTTTAAACAGAAAAGAAAATGGGGAAGGGGAAGCAGAAATATAAAACTAACCACACAAAGAAATTGAGTGTGTGGCTATTATGGCTGTCACCTTAACATTAATTTTAATCTCATTTCCATTTTAAAAAACAGACCCAATAAGAAAAAGACTGACAAAACATGTATGCATACTAAAGCCAGATTAAATACATCATGTAACTTTCAATTAAAAGCAAGAAGAACTCAGCCATGAAATAGCCTTAAATCAAAAAGGCAGATTCTGTACCATGCCCTGAAGAGCCATTTATGAAAACAGAGTGTAACTATAAAAACAAATTATAAAGAAATGGTTTCTGTGCTATTCCACTGATTCTAGATTACACTACAGAGAAGACAATTCCCACTGTCATCTTTTCTTGTGTGTTAAAGGATTTAGCTGTGGTTCCTAAACTTTAGGAACAAAGGTATGTGCCCAGAGACTATCCCGGGAAGCACACATCTCTCCTCCTATGCTCATGTCAAGGGAAAGGAACAGCAAAAGCCACCTTGGACTGATACTTCTGAGATCACAGATCACATCTTAGTGCCACAGACCAGGAGTCAGCAATAGTTTTACTTCTAAGTGTCACCAAGGGAGTTTGAATATGCCAGTAATAGGTGGAAGGGGGTACCACAAAGAGAATTCTGGTAAAAATTAGAAGAGAAAGGGCAGAAAAAGAAGAGCAACTTGAAAGGTAAATGGCCAAAGTAAGAGGGCATTTAGTTGTATGCATTTCTTGAATTACTGCAGATACCTTTTCCAATTACATAGAACTTACAGTGAAGTGCACAGAAAGATGGATGGTTTTTGTTACAAGTTAAAGAGCATTTTGCTACCTGAGACAAAAAATCCAATGTGAGTTTTCATGAAATGCTAGCTTCAGGGGACAGAGAACATAGCCCAGACTGCTGGCAGCCCACGCTCATCTGTTGGGCCAGAGATGTTTCCTGGGGGCATCCTAAAGGCATGCAACAAGTGCTTTTCCAAACCAAGTCTACAGGAATCTGATAGACATATCTACCGTTACTCTCAGATCCTGAGATTAATATTTACTGAATACTACTGGGGGAAAAGGGTTTAGGTTAAAAATCACATTTTATCGCTGTTAATATAAATGAGAAGATAGTGCTTGGTGATTTTCTTTCCTCTTTCCAGTTCCAAGTCAACACAAATAATACCTTTTCTTAAAGCAAATTAATTTGAATATTTAGAGGTTTTAATATAGTCATTAAAAAAAAATCTCAACTCCAAGGTTCAGCATGATATTACTTTTTAATTGCTAAAACTGATTCTGTTATCACCTTTTAAATCACTATTTAGTTCAGCAGCATGTCAATCTGAGATAAATTTTGAACTTCTGCTCCCAAATTGCTCATCTTTTTAAAACTGATAAGCATTATGTTGCCCATCAAGAGGTTAGTTTTCCTTGCTCTTCTTTAAATCAGCCTGCTGGCCAGAGGATGGCTGTTTTGTTCCCTGCTGTATCCCAATACTTAGGACAGGGCCAGGCACAGCATGGTCAATAGATATGGATGACTGATTGACTGAATAAACATACTTCCCCAGCTGCTTAGCCCTGAAGCCCCCCATTCAAGCACCTCAACGTTCCTCAGCACTTTCTATTTTAGGTTGTGAGATAGAAGCTCAGTGTTGCTCAGATGGCCACTCCTATAATATGATTTATAAGAAGGAAAATTAACCTCTCCGCCCTAGGAGGCAATATCTCACAAGTTATCATTCAACAATGGAAAATCTTTTACTGGAATCAATGGTCTGAAACTTCAACTATCTAATACCTCAC